AAGGGGGAAATGAAACCCCACGGTTCCATCAGCGGACAACTGTCTCTCCTTTTTATTTCCGTGTCTATTTTTTTCATTCTTTTTTTATTTTTTCTATTTTCTTTTCGTTTTCTGTTTTAAATTTCTTTAATTATTATTAATAGTTAAAAAAAATTAAGTGGGTTTAGTTTTGTAAATAGGTTATAACTTTAGTTAATCATGTTTCATTAACTCATAATTAGAAAACTTTTAAAATTGAGAAGCGTTTTAAAATTCTAAGTTTAGTAAGTAATTATTTAGATAATTAAGAGAATAGCTATTAATTAAAAACATATTTTTATTAACTTTCACAATTCTCTTCTTTAGAATAAAACAAAAATTCAAAAACAGTTTTTAGTAAAAGACAAACTTTTTTTAGACTTTTTTTTTAATTAGCGTAAGTTAATTAACCCTTTTTTTTTCTTTTAAACAAAAAATTAATATTTTTTAAAAGTTAATACTAATCTTTTTAAATTAAACTTTTGTTAATCAACTCTTTTTTTTTAACACTAAACCTTTTTTTAATATTTAGGCTAGAACAATTTTTTAAAATTAGAATTAAATTCTTTTTTAAAAAAAACACTAAATCTTTTTTAAAACTAAGATTAAAATTAAACTAAACCTCTCTTTTTATTAAAACTAAAACTTCTTTTTAAAAAATTAAAATTGAATCTTTTTAAAATTAAAACTAAAATATTTTTCAAATTAAAACTAAGACACTTTTTGAACATTTGACAATTAAACTCTTTTTTTTATATAGTAAAATTAAACCTTTTTTAAATTTAAAACAAAAATTCTTTCTTTTTAATTAAGACAAAAATATTTTTTTTTCAAAGTTAAAACCGAAATCTTTTTTTTAAGAAATAAAACAATATCAAATTAGCAGCTTTCTCTTCACTATCTCATTATCCGTTTTATTTCTGTCTAATCCTATTAACATTCTCCGATTTTTTTCCAGCTGATTGAGTTTAACTTTATTTATCATTAGTTAAATATTTCATTATCATATTTGTATTTTGTTCCACGGATGTTATTTACGCGAGGCCATGGTCGCGGTTTTATTTTATCTTTCTTTTTTGGGGATTTGTAATTTACGCGAGTGATCGTCGCGATGCTTTCTTTTACCGCTTTCTTTATTTTTCCGCACTTTAATTCTGTCGAATAGTAATTTACCGTATTTTGCATGTTTTTACCGTTAGAATCCCTCTGAAGGAATTAGGTCTAGCCGTTTGACCGCCGAGTCAATAACCCTAATTTTTGACCGTTTCAAAAACCCTAATAGCCTAGGTGTTCCGCCGTGGGCGAAAATGCCCTTTACCCTAGCATTAGGTCAAAGAGTCGCCGTACTCTGTTTAGGTTTTCCCGCTGTGGAATCCCTAATTTAACCCTAAATTTTCAATTAACATTTCAACGTAGAAATAGGAGTTTCAAAACTCCACGTAGGCGTGTCCTTAAGATATGCTTACTCCCCTTGAAACCTTGACCACAGTCAAAAGGTTTCTAACCTCCATAATTAGGGGAACTACGATTACTCTGATTCCATTCCCTATCCAGGATACGTAGGCACAAGATGCGACGTCTTGCCGAGTAAACTTAGGACTAACCCTTAGGTATTTAGGTCACTCTATCCCTTAGCTCAATATATATTCAAACAGATAATAAATAAAAAGCATACAATAAACAAAAGGTTCATGTAGAGTACTACAGAAGTTTAAGGTGCTAGTACCTTCCCTAAGCTTAACCAACCCCTTACCTAGGTCTCTCCCCGCATTGCGTTTACGATGCAAAAATAGGTTTTCACTCTTTTGACCTTTTCCTTCGGATAAATCAAAGAGCGGGTTGTGAATTAAGAATTGTGATTCAAACTAATTAATAGTTTGGTATCCTATTTCCACCGCAACACTCTCCTTTTACAAGGCTCCGCGCAAGATGCCAAATGAGATTCGTAGCTTGTTGGGCAAGTTCTTATGGCGTGGTCTTAAGGACAAGAAAGTTGTTTATTGGGTGAACGAGTGTATTTTCAAACCAAAAGAAGGATGTCTTGGCATTATCAATATAGAGGCTCTTAACATAACTTTTCTTTTGAAATGGAAATGAAGGATAGTCAAAGAGAAAGATGCAATTTGGAAAATTTTGATAAATCATAAGTAAATTAAACCTCAAGTGAAGATGTTCATTAGTGATTCTTCAGTGTCTAATTAAGGTGATTCCATTTGGTGGAGAGATCTTATGATGGTGGAGGCAATTTTTTCTGCTAATACTTTCTGCAAGGTTTATGACGGCAAAAATACGAATTTTTGGTTTAGTAAGTGGTTGGGAAACCAATCTTCAAAGGAGGCCTTCCCTGAGTAATTTGATATTGCTGCAAACCCCTACTGCAATGTTGCAGATGTAGGGAATTAGGTGTTTGGCGTTTGGCAGTGGGACTTGCATGCTCTAGTTCACAATGGTGCAAAAGATGGTAATTGGCTGGTGCTGCTGTTAAAAGATTTGCTCGAAAATGTCATAATGACAATGAATTCTGAAGACGGGGTGGAATGGACTGCAAAAAAGGAGTTTTTTTTTGTGAATTCCACTTATGATGTTATCACCTCTAGGATCACAATTTATTATGTTTCGCATGAGGAGAGAAACGTTGTTAACTTGGTGTGTGAAATTTTGACTCCGTTGAACATGCTTTTTTCCAGTTTGCGTTGGATTCTAATTAGGCTGCCTACTCGTGACCAACTTATGAAAAGGATTATTTTAGGTGATCAATGAAAACTTTTTGATGAATGAAATTAGAGAAAAATGAACCCTTTTGTCAAACCATTATGAGAGAAAACAGAAAATGACAATCTCTCAAATAGTTTGCATGCATGAACAATATTTTTATGTGTTGGTGTGACATCCTTACAAACACCATCTTCTAAATCAATGCAACTTTGGAGCTTCATAATACATGTTCTGCATAGACAGAAGATATAATCTTCATTGCATTTAGCCCACCATTCTCATCCAATGTTCTAGGAATCATCTCAAAACTATCAGTAAATTTTTCTATAGCATACTGATCCAATCTTGTCTCCTTGAAAGGAAATTCTTGCACCCTCTTAGCTAACTCAATTTTAGTTGCATCAGCTCCAGGAACAATACGGTTATCCCTGCACATGGCCTTGTAAGTGTTCACTCTATCATCAAATGCTCTTTGAATATCATCGAGTATACTATCAATACTTCCTCTAAAGACAATAGTTGACACTGAATTGGCACCCTCTTCATTTTTAACAACGGTAATCCTTGCACCACCAATTTCCTCAACTGAAATAGAATTGACATATTCAAGATCATCTTGATTTGGTTGACTAAGCTTCAACATAGCAACAACACCGGTTGTATGGCAAAATCAACACAGTTCAAATTTAGAACTGATTTTCAGAACCATAAGCTTATAACGCTCACAAAAATGTAAAACCATCTCTTCTACTGCCCCAACTGTTACCTGATGCTCTGAATGTATTTCAACGTTAGCATCCCTATCTTTATCATTACTATAATCTTTGCATTTAATACTCTGACAATCAGATATTCCAAATTCTTCACCGTTTCGATCCTTATGGACTACATCAGATCCAAGGGTTTCATCCTCCATTTCAATAAATGTTTTATGAAGAGGCTCTAAACCTCTATAAGTAGAATGTATATGCACTTTATCATCCTTGTTGTGAATCAGATACCTTAAAACTAAGTATAAACAGTTTCTTAATCATCAAGAAACACACAAGGATTAGGGTTATAAAGAAGAAAACAACAAGGATTGGTTATTCAACTGTTATTCTTTACTTTCGCTTCGAACAAGATTACAAGTATATATGAATAACAAAATAACCTCTCTCTCTCTTGAAATTGGGATTTTATCTTCCTATTTTTCCTTATGACAAGATTGAGAAATTAGTATCCTATTTATAAGAAAAATAGCACACTAACCTAATGGTTTTTTTTTAACAATTATCCATTACAAGCTAACTTAGGTACAAGCTAACTTAAACATTTGGACTTACAAGCAAGACCCAATTCAACATGCTAACAACCCTAGCAATATTAACTAATGCATGTTAGAACAAACTTCGACTACAACACGCATTACTCGCGAACAGGCTTCGACCGTACTAGAGTTCGATCTAACATCTCACAAATCTCCACCTTGGATCTAACTCTATAGCATCAAGAAACTAGCTTTCTTCATGCAGATTTATTAACTGCATACAATGGAAAAACTTGCAACTGAGCAACGTCTTGGTGATCATATCATCAACATTATGATCTGTCGAAACCTTCAGAACTTGGACTTCTCCATGCTCAATTACCCCTCTAATGAAGTGCAGCCTCACATCAATGTGCTTGGTTTGCTCATGATAGGTTGAATTCTTTAACAGGTGTATTGCACTTTGACTATCACATTTAACAGTGATAACTCGACCTTGATGTTTTAGCTCCTTTGCAAAACCTTCAAGCCACAATGCTTCCTTCACAACTTCAGTTAGGGCAATATACTCCGCTTCAGTGTTTGATAAGGCAACGACCTTCTGAAGTGTTGCTTTCCAACGGATTGCTGTCCCAAACATAGTGAACACATATCCAGAGATAGACTTTATGGAATCCATACAATCTGCATAATCAAAGTCACCATAAATTATGAATCTATTTAGAGACCCATTTATGTACCTTAAAATGCACTTCAATACTTTCCAGTGAGCCTTTACAGGATTCATCATGTACCTGCTTACAAGACTTACTGCATATGCTATGTCGGGTCTAGTACAGACCATAACATACATCAAAGAACTTACTACGTTAGCATATGGAATGTTATTCATATAAGTTCTTTCATCATCAGTGTTGAGACACTGATTTATACTCAGTTTGAATTGAGAGTTTGTCGGAGTCACAACAGACTTTGAATTTGACATACCAAACTTTTTGAGAACCTTCTGTAGGTATGCCTATTGAGATAAGCATAATTTCGATTGCTTTCTATCTCTCTGAATGTCAATCCCAAGAATCCTAGACACATCTCCCATATCCTTCATGTCGAACTCTTTATTGAGTTCAACCTTCACCCTCATTACCTCTTCGACATTGTTGCTTACTATTAGAATATCATCCACATAGAGCAACAAAATAACTAATGAATTATCCGGTCGAAATCTGAAGTAAACACAATGGTCGAACTGACTTCTGATGAAACTTATGTGTGCCATGAACTTGTCGAATCTCTTATTCCACTGTCGAGGAGATTGTTTCAGTCCATATAAAAATCTATTCAGTTTGCACACACAATCTTTCTTCCCCCTTTCGACATACCCTTCAGGTTGTCTCATCAGAATTGTTTCATCTAGATCACTATACAAGAACGCAGTCTTCAGATCCATCTGTTCCAATTCAAGGTCGAATTGGGCCACCATGACAAGCAATATTCGAATGGATCTGTGTTTCACAACAAGAAAGAACACATCATTGAAGTCGATACCTTTTTTCTGAGTGAACCCCCTAGCAACCAATCTTGCCTTGTATCTCTTCGACGCCACTCCTTTGATTCCTTCCTTAATTTTAAAAATTCATTTACAGCTGATTAACCTGGCTCCAGTAAAATTCTTGATCAGTTCCCAGGTTGGAAGAGAAGTGAGAAAAAATCATGCCAAAATAAGAAACCTCCTCCTCAGCAACAATTTAGAATCTTCATGTGTTGATAGTTTCTGTCAAAAACTGTATGATTTTTTATAGAATTGGGTTCATAGTAATTTAAGGACCAAAGGGAGTAGAGGAGATAAAACTAAAAGCAAAAGAAGAAAAAGACAAGAACAGAACAAATTATTGAAGTGATGACATGAAAAACGTGCAACATACACGTCACATTGCAGCCATAAGTTTACAGCTCTATATATGTTACATTGCAGCCATGGATTCAGTCAAATCAACAATGGCTCCTCTTTCTCCTCCTTTGCACATAGCAATGTTTCCATGGTTTGCTATGGGACACTTAACTCCATATCTTCACCTCTCCAACAAACTAGCCAAAAGGGGACACAAAATCTCTTTCTTCATTCCTAAAAATACACAAACCAAATTACAACATCTCAACCTTAACCCAAACCTCATCACCTTTTTCCCTCTCAACGTTCCTCATGTTAATGGTCTTCCCCATGGCGCTGAAACATCTTCAGATGTACCCTTTTCTTTAGTCCCTCTTATTGCTACAGCCATGGACCAAACTGAGGACCAAATTGAACTTCTTCTAAAGGAACTAAAACCACATATTGTTTTCTTTGATTTTCAATATTGGCTACCGAATTTGACTCAAAAACTTGGTATCAAAAGTCTTCAATACTGGATAACTAGTCCTTTTTCAATATCTTACTTTTGGAATGGACCTAGACAAAGCCAAGGAAAAGGATTAACAGTAGAAGATCTCAAAAAACCACCTTCAAACTACCCTGATTCATATATCAAGCTTCATCAACATGAACTTGAGTTTCTATCTTCATCAAGGAAACTTGTATTTGGGAGTGGTTTATTTGTATACGACCGTTTGCACATAGGTACAAGCTTAGCAGATGCAATTGGTTTCAAAGGTTGCAAAGAAATGGATGGACAATATGCTCAATTTCTTGGAAATTTTTATGGAAAACCTTCTCTACTTTCAGGTCCTCTATTACCAGAATCACCAACAACTTCTTTAGATGAAAAATGGGTCTCATGGCTTAAGGGATTCAAACATGGTTCTGTGGTTTTTTGTACATATGGAAGTGAAGGTCCTTTACAGCATAATCAGTTTCAAGAGTTGTTACATGGTCTTGAGTTAACAGGTTTTCCATTTCTTGCTGCACTTAAGCCACCTAATGGATTTGAGTCCATTGAAGAAGCTTTACCTGAAGGATTCAATGAAAGAGTTAAAGGAAAAGGAGTTGTTTATGGAAGATGGATTCAACAGCAATTGATTTTGGAACACCCTTCGGTTGGATGTTTCATCACACACTGTGGAGCTGCTTCTATAACTGAGGGACTTGTTAACACGTGTCAGTTGATTTTGTTGCCACGTGTAGGTGTTGATCATATAATGAATGCAAGAATGATGAGTGAGAAATTGAAAGTTGGTGTGGAAGTTGAGAAAGGTGATGAAGATGGATTGTTTACAAGAGAAAGTGTGTGCAAAGCTGTGAAGATTGTGATGGATGATGAGAATGAGGTTGGAAGAGAAGTGAGAAAAAATAAGAATGAATTAAGGAAGTTTTTGTTGAGTGAAAATCTAGAGTCTTCATGTGTTGATAGTTTCTGTGAAAAGCTTCAAGGTTTGATTTAAATTTCTGAGTTTTAATATCACAAACTTGTTGCACTGAGTTATTTTGCACATAATTGTATTATTGTTGTTAATATTTTGTGTGCTTTGTATTATGAACTTCTATATTATTTAATGTTACATAGATTATGTGTTTTATGTGATAAAAAGATTAAATATATTTAAGTAAATTGGAGTGAGTATATAATAAGAATAAGAAAGTTAGTGGGCATAAGAAGACACTATCTTTACAAATAGTTGCCTTTAGTATTTAATACTTAGTTAATGACTATGGAGGAAAAGGTAATTCACATGATTGCATCGTGACAAAGGGTTGTTTTATTTGTTGTTCAATAATCAATATTATAGGTTAATAGGATTTGGCTGATCCATGAGGTATCAATAATAGGGGTTTCAAATGCTCTATATAACACTTATGAAATGATGAAATAGTTCTATTTTAGTTACCAATAATATCCCCTTCCTCATTAAAGAAAAATAAGTAGGATTCAACGAAAATATCAGTTAACAAAAAAGAATGTGAGCAACTATAATTGGTTAATAGAATAATTAATTACGAGTTATTTAAGAGTGTGATTCTCTGTTATAAGTAATTGATCATTCATATAAACAATAGCTTGGAGTTGCATTATAAATAACAATTTTTTTTACGTTCTAATAAGTGGTATCTAGAGCACTGATTGATGATTTAGGTGTGTCTTTTCATTCAAGAAACGCAGTTTCGATATCATGGTTAGAGAAAGTCATTATTTTCGTTATCCTCACGTATCAGTCCCTCATTTGAATTATCTCTATGGTTGATTCATCAATATTCTTGACACCAACAATTTTCAAATTCGATGGATTCTACGATAATTGGGCCGTGCTTATGGAGAATCTTCTTAGATTCAAGAAGTATTTGTGAATTGGTAGAGAAGGGTGTTACGGTTGCACCGCCAAATGCAATGCCGAAACAAAGGAAACTTGAAATTAAGCTCAAAGATCTCAAGGCCAAGAACTAGTTGTTTCAAGCAATTAATCGAACAATTATTGAAACAATTTGAATCACGACACAACCAAAGATATCTGGGATTCCATGTGTAGAAAGTATCAAGGGTCCACGAAAGTGAAAAGAGCTCAATTGCAGGCTTTGCGTCAAGAGTTTGAATTTCTTTGCATGAAGAATAACGAAACATTTGATGAACATTTTGCAAGAACTTTGACTATTGCAAACAAGATGACTGCTCAAGGTGAGAAGATGGAAAAAACCACCATCGTTGAGAAGGTTTGAGGTTTATGACCATAAAATTCAATTATGTGGCATGCTCCATAGAAGAATCAAATGATGTCACAACCTTGTCCATTGATGAGCTACAAAGTAGTCTCTTGGTGCATGAGCAAAGAATGAAGATCAATCAAGAAAAGGAGGATGAACATGTGTTAAAGATTGCTAGTTATGGTCGTGGTGGTATCAACAATCGAGGTAGGGGACGTGGTGGCTTTTATGGTCATAGTAGAGGAAGACTGAGCAGAGATCAGATCCAATGTTACAAGTGCCACAAAATAGGGAACTATCAAAGTGAATGTTCAAGTTGGCAAGAGAAAGATGCCAACTTCATTGAATTCGATGAAAGTGAAAAGTTGTTACTCATGGCTTAAAAGGAAGACACAAAAACATCAATCAAGTGTGGTTTTTTGACTCAGGATGTAGTAATCATATGGTTGAAAAAAAGAATGGTTGTTATATTTTGATGAAAGATTTCATGAATCTCTCATGTCAGGGGATGATTCTAAGAAGCAAGTAATAGGAAAGGGAAATTTGAAGCTTCACATGGATGAAATTGTCGCTTGCGCGAAAATAAGGTGCCGGCATGACAGAAGAGTCGGCACCTTTCATTATTTATCCCTCAGAGCGGGAAAGGAAACGATCGGAAAAACCTGACGAATAAGGGTAAGACAAGGTCGTCGCAACCATTGTCTGGGTTCGGGAGTCGGTTACGCAAGAGGAAGGTATTAGCACCCCTCACGTCCGTCGTACTCGACGGGATCCTCGCTTGTTTGTTTACTTGGACGGGTTGGTTATAATCTATCTACCTATCAAGGCTGGCTGAAAAAGAAAAGAAAAATGACTCGGCAAAGCATCGCACTTTATGCCTACGTATTCTCATCAGAGAATGAGAAATCAGAGTCAACGTAGTTCGGCCTACGAAGGATTACGGGGGAAAGGTTGAAGGTTGCTCGCTAGGATATCGCATCCTATGCCTACGTACTTTCATCTGGTATGAAAGATCAGAGCAAACGTAGTTCGGGAAACTACGGGTTATCTCCTGAAAGAAATGTTTTTTATTATGTTTGCGATCTCAACCGCACTAGAGACTATGACCTGAGAGGGAATGCGTCCTTTCTCAGATAGCTTAAGGCTCGTAACGTACGAAGGAAATCATCCATGATTACTGTATCTTAAACTGCTTTGAGATGAGAAGAGAACAGGCCCAACTAGGAGGGAGACTATCAAGTCCTACTGTTGTCATGCCATGGATTCATCCTATGGTCGAGGTTTGAACAGGGAACTCCTAGAAGTTGTCATGCATAGGTTTCAACCTAAAAGTCTATCATCAAATCCTCATCAGAGGAAATGAGAGTCCTAAGGGATCATGTCAATGATACACCGAAACAGACAAAAGCATCAACTTTAACAGTAAAATGCATGCAATGCAAGTGAGGGAGGAAATATGTGTGGGGCTTCAGCCTCCACAAGCTCGTCTCGACCTCAAGCCAGTCATGAAATAACAGTAATCATACTGAAGATAATCAACATGCTATCAAGCAATATACAGATAAAAGAAATGAAGTGCCATCAGGCAAACAAAACACAAGCTTGAGAAAGAAACATCTATATCTAGTCCTAACCCTAACACAGAATCTAAATCAAATCTAAGCAAATCCCTAAAGCAAAACCTAACCAAAAGAAATCAATCCCAGTCTTCAAGCTTCGAACAAGCTTACCAAAGAAAGGGAGCTAAGTAAGCAGACTCATAGTGTCTTCCTCAGGAAAGCACTAGGAGGTGTATACTCAGGAGTCATACCCTATGTGGCTAAACCACTGTGATCAGTTTACATTCCTCCTCA